TGAAATCGGTAGGACCCAATTCTAAAAGTAGAAGTGCGGCATTAGGAGTTCCTAGTGAGGTGTAGGCTCTCGGGGGAGATGTGGCCCGAGTCCAGACGCCAGAGGATGGGACGATGTGAACCAGACGGGGGGACGCCGGGTATCAAAACACGGTATCGCCGCCCTGAGAAGAGCAGATACGCCGAATGCGTTACAACAGGATGGAGAAAGAAGGTGTGGATACGGGCGTCCGGAATAGAATGAAATGTGGGAGGTGAGTGGGGACGGCGTCAGGACGGCCGGACGTGGGAGGCGTCGCAGATGACGGGATAAACCGGGGGTTGAAATGGAGGACGCAGCGGACGCGGCTGGCCGTTGCAACGCAAGACCAGACGCACAGGACGCAGGGGACGCAGGGGAAAAACACCGGGCGTCCGGACGCGGCGCCCGCGCGTCTGACGCAGGATTTATTTTCGCTGATGCGCAGCGACTCATAGAAGTCAGCTGATGGATTTCGCATGACTCATAGTTATGAGTCACAAAGGTTTGCGTGATGCAAAAGTATGAGTCACGCCAGGTGAAGAGCTACTATATAAAGGGTCACTAGGACCTCTAGTATTAGCTCTTCACACGTTCTTCTTGTTTTATTTCCTATCTCTAAGTTTTTACAATAAAACCTACCTTTACACTCTTTAAAATTAAATAAAACCTACCTTTACACTCTTTAAAATTAAATAAAACCTACCTTTACACTCTTTAAAATTTATCTTAAGAAACCCAAGAATTGTCTTTCCTCTCAAGCAAGAAAACTATTTCTCGTCCCACGTCGAACAGATAAGTCCTAAGCAAGGACTTAAGAAGAATAGAGGACTAGACGCAATAAGATAGAGGTCAAAGGACTTAACTATCAATATCGCGTAGGCATAGGCCTAAGAACTGTTACCTCTCACTAAGTAAGAACTGTTACCTGTCGCATTACTCACCCGCCCAGTAGGATTCTTAACACTTAGTTACACAAAGGATGCACACCTATATAAATAGGGGTTACCACCCATCTTGCTTAAGAGAATTAAGGACAAGAACTGCTACCAATCTACCTTCATACCAAACCCCTCCTCACTTAACTTGAATGTGCCCATGGTATACTCTTTCTACTACATTGTATTTTCGTACCAAGTTATTAAGATAGTACCGTACCGTACACATTTAAACACAACGTTGTCTGCTGTTCGGGAGTTATTACCATTTCCTAAGAGCCTTCTCTATATATTCTTTGCCTTCATTATCACGGGTGTCTAAGGGGGAATAGGAGCATTTCAAAAAGGTGTTAGACACCGCAATGATCCAGGTGCTTTCATTTTGCTCATTTACACCCCTGGCATTACCACTAGATTAGGGGTGGGGCCTAAAAAGAGAGCGGAGCTTATGACGGTACCTTTTCTACTATTCTGCCATCAGCGTTGTCCTGTCCCAGAAGTTGTGTGGCACCCGGACATGATATATCACTCGGACATCTTGTGAATTGATATGACTGCGGACGAGAAAAGAAGCTTGGTTTTCTTACCACCTGCGTAGCAGTGGGCTTTTATGCTAACTATGAAAAGAAAGAAAAGAAATAACAAAAGCCCGAGGTCGGTAACATGAGGACCTCGGAGGAAAGAATTTGACGAAACCTCGGTGAGGAAGAAAAACATATGAGAACCTCGGAATACCATAGTTGAATATGGCATGGTTGTGCGGTTGTGAAACGAATAGGGAAGAGATGAAGAAAAACTCAAACACTAACTAACGTTGAAGAGAGTGGTGAGGAAAGTACTAGGAGAAACTAACTAACAAGGAAACTAGTGTGTTTGACGGATAAGCACTAAACCCAACACATCTGTCACCCGGAAGACCTTTTATTGTTGACCCCAAGACCTCTCAAAACCCAAGACCTAGGGGATGTGGAATCACGACCTGCGGCAATCCATGAGATTGGCTGTGGGTTTCATAGGCTTCCGGTTATGTGCAGGGGAGAATCGCAAATCCCGGCGAAAGGAGTTCCGGAAGCCAAGAGAAATCCAGGGTTTCTTGATCAACACCCGGCGTTTCTGGTCCTCGGCTGGGCAACCAGCCTCTATCACGAACACTACCAAATGCTTATATTATTATCTTACCTCTGGTTCACTAAGCTCTCTCAGCAGCGTTGTGTGCCTTGGTCGGGAACAATCACCCTGCAGTTAACGGTACCGAGCAAGTATGCTAGGACGAGGCCCTGCGAGGCGGGGGAATGTTTGGTTCCACAAGCACAGTCGGAAGAGAGAGGGGCGATATAAGAGCCAAAACAAGAAGGGTAAAAAAGGCTTAGTACTAGTTCTGATGGGATACAAGACCGGGCCACAAGAAACAGGAACCAATCGGGTCCCGGGAGAGGTTTTCAACACCGGATCGGCAGAATCTTTCACGATATCGCAAACGAAGGAAATAGGAAACAGCGGTACGAACGGCTGTACCAAACCAAACGAGTAATCGGCTCTGAAACAAAACAAGGCGAAAAGGCCACTCACGTGGGGGGATCGCACAACTCACAGGGGGGAAAACTCTTCACCTCGCTAACCTCTCTTAACTATCGTGCACTCTCTCTAACTTACGGTAATGACAGGAGTTTATATCAACGACACAAACGACGTTGTCCTAACCTCCCATCCTTCCAAGGTATTTCTCCCACACACACAGCAAACAAGAAAAGGCTAACAAGGAAAAAGACAAACTTGGGCTGCCCATAGCTCCCCCGCCTTGTGGCCTTTCAGCTTTCCTTTGAGCCCTCCTTCCAGTCCCTATGCCATCCTTCCTGCGGATGCACATCTCCAAAGACTCCCGCACACTCCAACGATCGAAGCACTTTCCCAAAAAGCCAAACTGCGGGGGCGGAAGCCTATGTGCGCCCGAAGCCATATTGCGCCCGAAACCCAAGCGCACCCCCGAACAACAAACTATCGTGAGAGAGCGTGCCTAGCAGCACCTCGAGATTTCCAATAGGAGGAGCCCAAGACTTCTAGGAAAATAGCAGCAGCAAAACAGCGGATGGGGAACAACCAGCTGGACATGCTGAGGTGAGGTCGTATCCGCAGAAACAACCTGAGCACCTACCAACTGAGATATGGTGGCAACACCAACAGCCGCTCCAGGTGCTTGTATCAACTCTGCTCACGAATCCACATGGGCAATACTGGCGATAATTATGGGTGCATGAATTTTCAAGTAACTCCGGAGTCTAGCAGGACAATCCCACTTTGTCAAACCAATATACAGCCACCGGCAAAGAACCAGGGTCACTTTTTAATATGACCAGTAGCCCAGGATCCTCCATATTGATGGCATGGTAATCCTAGTAGTAAAGCGTAGTAGAGTTAAGAGTTCAGATATGGCGGAGCAAGAAATGTGGATGTGGGGGATAATGGAGCACCTATTGCGCAGTGGGGAATAGAAGTCTAAGTGGATGTGTGGCACTATAGCAGTATGCAAGTAAGAATGAGAGGTAAGAGGTAACTTAAGGTAAAACAACTTCGCTCCGCACTCCTCCAAACTTAATGAAAATAGAGATCGTATATCGTATCTTCTGCGCACTGGAAGCTTTCGTCTTTCTGACTGGCTGAACTCGATTCTGATTTTCCCTCCTATGACTTCTGTTCTTCGCTACTTCATACCATACACTTCTCCGGTAAACCCTCAGCTTTATATACATCCATAAGATAGCTTCTTCCTTCCAGACCGCTTTCCTTTGTCATACACATACCCCTTTCTTTTTCATTCTTCCTGATTCCAAAGACTCCCTTCTACCCCGCTTTCCGAACCAATCACTTTCTCCCATGTCTCCTCATGGGCACACATTACTTGTCCCATAATGCTGGTCCAGAGTCTTCCCATCAGAAAAAACATCCCCTAGAACCTTCCATCTTGCTCATTCACTTGCTTCTAAGCATTACAAATTTTCAACACCTCCGGAAATATCTCCGGACCACTAAAAGTGATGCATAGGAGAGAACTAGTACTTGGAGTACCGGTGATTTGCAATAAAACTAACGGTCAAGACACCTGTATAAGTAAAACACAAACAGTGCACCCTCATCCTTCCATTGGTCACCACACCGATCTCTATCTCTCCATGTGTGCTGCCCTTTCCTCCGTACACTCCCGTAATAACAAAGAAAACACGTACTCCATGAATCTTCTGTCAATCTCTGAACCTCCACACTGACTATCAATCCACTGAACTTCCGCCAAACTCTCGAACCTTCCATGATCTATCCCAATCAATCCACATCCTTCCAGAACCTTCAACAAGAAATACAGGTATGCGCGGTGACATGAATGGGAAATGTATGAGCGGAGGTATGTATGAATGTGACGCTGGGGAGAGTGGAGGTTTTTTAGGCTTCCCTCTCTTCCAGTGTCGTCGAACATACATGATTTCTAGCTTGCCACCTTCGGTAAAGAGAACGTAGATATCGAAAACTCCGAACCGACAGCGCAAGTGCCGATATCAATCACTAGTATTATACAGTATAGGAGAGATTTAAAGTTGTGTTGGCTGGTAATCTCTCTGCCACGAATGGCCAAGTGGTGGCCTTACTCATAAGTTAGGCATTTCCAATCTCATTTCTGGAAAAAAGCAGGCAGGATAAAGGACCAGTTTCCATTGCTCTACAACTATCTGACCGCGCAGGACTATTTATGACTAATTTGGCTGTCTCCTGTTCTCTTTTTAGCTCCCAGTCAAACATTTAATTAGACCTTCTCCCGCTTCCAAGGCACACCGGCACGTAATCTCAAATCACTCTCCTCTAGCGGAGACCTCATACAGTTGCTTATAGGTTATTTGACGTTAGTTACGGGATGATGTGGCGGGATAATCGTCAGCTCACGTGATATCTGCTATCACACTCATCTCATCGGGTTGTAGTATTGATGAAAGAGTTTACTAAACGCGATGCCTGTGGATCAGGCTTGGGTCACTATGCAATGGCTGGTAAAGGTGATGTGGTAGAGAAGCGAGTGAATTCTTGATACTGTACGAGTACAGGAGTAACACAATAGCACGGGCCGCTGGCGGAGGGCTCACGAAATCCCGGGATTTTGATACGAATATCGAACAGAATGCAGGATATGATATCCGAGAAAAGGAGAAAAGAAAATGCCAACTTCGACTCAGGCCACCAAGCATATCGAAATGCAGACTTCGAACCAAGGATCCACTGTTTGTTCTATATATATTTAGTAAGGCTTTTAAGTATTCGGTATAAGAACAAACAACGAGGTAGGGGGCATTACTCACCGGTCGCCAGACCTGGATTTCAGGACAAGGGGATTGTGCCCTGTGTGGGCAAAGTGTGGTGAGCGGGGATGTCTTGAATACAAAACTACTGGGGGGTCAGTAGTCAATAAATGCTATTAGGGAATGTGACCCGGAGCAACCCACGTCCTAAAAGAAAGGTTAATAGACAGTGTAATGACATAATTAGTAGCATTGAAATTGGAGTACTCACTTTCTATGTGGCCGAAGGGGTTTTGAGGAATCCTGTGCGTAAGTAGGGAAAGGCAGAAGAGGGAACAAAAGAAAACCAACGAGCTATCTCGTGCGAAACGTAAGCATCAGTTGTGACTAGGCGGGGAGGAGGTATGTTTCCATACAAACTTAGATCGGAGTGAGATCATTGGTTAGCCTATAGAAGGGGAGCAGCATGGAGATTCGGAATAATTACCTTCTATTGGTGAAATCAAAGCTGAGGTTAGTAGGGAATTCCGAAAGCCAGCAGGGATATTAAGAGGTGGGGATAACACACGATCTATACGAGGGAGCGAGAAGCCTATCAATAATAGAGAAAGGAGAAAGGAGAAAGGGGAAGGGTGTAAGTTAGATGTTTACTTACCATCTGAGGAAAGCAGCACCCCGGGGCATCAGCAATTGCCTCATCCCGCAGCGGTGGTTTATCGTGTTCACTTACCTCCTACAACCCTCGCGAGGCAGTGGTCAGCAATTGCCTCGTCCCGGAATCATTGTTTATCGTGTTCACTTACTGACTACAAAATTCGGCGGGCTAGAGGTCAGCAATTGCCTCGTCCCGGAACCGTGGTTTACTGTGCGTACTTACCTCCTACAACATTCCGCGAGCCAGAGGTCAGCAATTGCGTCGTCCCAGAACTGGGGTTTACAGTGTTCAAGTACCTTCTACAACACTCCGCGAGCCAGAGGTCAGCAATTGCCTCGTTCCAGAACCGTGGTTTACTGGATTCACTTACAAACTAAAACACTCCGC